GTTGTTGCTGACAACTCTATTATCAGATCAAATGAGCAAGCACGATAGAGATTCCTTGCGGCACTGAGACCAAAAGACCTAAGAACGTAGATAACTCCCACGCGTAGCACACACTCAAATTCAGACCCAATAGAGACATCAGCCAGGCTCTGAATGAGCATACCCTAAATTAAAAACAAAAAAAGACAGTAAAGAAAGAGCAAAGCAGGGGAAAAAAAGAGCAAAAAAACAGAAAGCACTGTAATCACAAAGAATCAGCGTAAGAGAATCTACCGTCTGATCCACCCAGAGGCAACAGTGATTAAACACCCTTGTCCCAGAAGGATTCTTGGCATACCACATATGGAGCAGACGAAGCCTCAGAGTCACCTCTCTGGTACCTCCTTTGAGATTGCAGAGCAGAGTAGCATCCATGGTGAGGAAAAAGGCGAGAAAACAACGACTGAACCACGGTGAACAAAGAGGGTAGAAAAAAAGAGGGAAATGCGTTCCGAGAATGAGTCCTCTTGTGCAAAAAGAATGAGAAATGCCCTTCTCCACCTGAGCGCACACATCGAGGCACTGAATGACGTCCACAGTGCTTGAAACAGTAAACTTTTTGACACCCTCCCGCCATCAGGTGAATAACCGGTATCAATCAGTCGCCCACCATTCCCAAAGCACCTCCAATCCCAGCCAATCAGCCGCCAAGTTTCTCCAACATAGTCCTGCGAACAACAACCCAACACGACCCTCTAGCAATCCCTAACAGACACAATCATATCATGCAAGACTCACTGAGGACATCTGAAGGCCCCGTCCCTCAAGTGAATAACCGGTATCAATCAGTTGTCCACCATTCCCAAAGCACCTCCAACCCCAGCCAATCAGCCGCCAAGTTTCTCCAACACAGTCCTGCGAACAACAGCCGGAATCCCTAACAGACACAATGATATCACGCAAGACTTACTGAGCACATCTGAAGGCCCCATCCCACGTGGCCGGGCAGGGGCAAAGTCACATACCAATCTCTGATGACCAACGCGCGTCCGGGCCACCAAACGACCGCAACTAAGGCCAACCAGAAGCCAACGACCAGTCCCACCCCGACCGAGCCCCCAAACCCGCCAGATCCCAATGAGGCCTCACCCAACTCCAGCCCACACTGAAGGACACGCCAGTTTGAAACAGTAAATCTCAGTCACGTTGTACAGTAAAAGGTGTCTGTGTGTACAGTACACGGGCATGCGGCGGGTTTGTTTCTTTCAATTAATACTAATGGATTCATTTAATAGTAGAAATATCCTTATATATTAAATCTTCTTAAATCTTAAAATATATTAAAGCACTTTTAGATTAAGACCATGTCCACGTCAGCCTCCCTGGAATTCTATGCATCCACGTCACCCATGTACAAACCGTTCTCTCTTCTCCTTCCAATATTTAGGCAGTCAAAATTGGTTACTTTTCCCCCTTTTCTTCTAATGCATGTCCTCTTCTTCCTTCCTCCCCAAATCACTCCGCCACCGTAAACCCTAGACCACCACCACCAGGGGAACGTCCGATATCCCTAGCCATGGCGTCGAAGCAGATACTCACTCTCGCTCGGCGGTCGCTTCACCGACTGCGATCTTCACTTGCCGCTCTATTCGCCGTCCGATCCTCTTCCTCCTCTGCCCTCGCGGAGTTCCGCGATTCCTCCTTCCTCACGCCCCGCCCCCGCCGAACGCCATGATCTATGATTGCCTTGCCGAGTAAAATAGAATATCAAGCAGTTGGAGAACCTGGATCCCATGTTCCGTAAGTACAGGTAGCCCCGCCCGATTCATCGGACCCACAATTTTGAGGCGATTCTTCTAATTTGCTTAGTCCCGGAGGAACTGTGTGTGGGGTTCAATCAGACCAGCTTTGTAACTGAAATCTTCCTGTCTTGGTAAATTTCTTTTCTAGAGAAAAAGGTGATTTACTATGATTAATTCTTTTACCGAGTATGTTGGTCAGATGATACGGGAAGTTTAGAGTTAGGCAACAGATGGAATTTTGATATTAGTAAGTGGAATTTTTAGGGTTTATGGTCTGTTGAGTGCATTTCTAATTTTCTCCGAGTTTGTTTTGTTCATAACCAAAATCATATTCACCCATTTTTATCTTAATTAGTCATTCTAAGTTATGAGTCATTCTAAGTTATGAAACTTTTAACATGATTATACACTGAGATATTTACAAGCATTGCGAATATATATGCTTTATTTCATTTTTTTCAAGTGTAATTGGAGGAAAGCAAGTGATGACGTGGCTGCGTGAGGGAAGGAGAGAGAATTTGAATATGTGAAGGGGTTAATGAGAAACCTCTTATAATATTCTTTAGACGGTGGCGGTGAGGTTTACTTTTTTACAAATGGTCACTCAACTTTTTTCTCACGTCAAACTTGAGAGAGGATCCACTAACTTGGTCCGACCTCTACTATCTTTCTAGACAAGGTACTAATAATTGGCTGTTGGCGGGGGATATCAATTCCATCCGATCAGCCGACGAAAAGAAGGCTTCCTGTGCATGGTCTAATCTCAGCATTGGTGCTTAGTCACTTGACTAAGCCCCTCATAGCCCTTAGATCTGGATATAGCAATCTGATGGTTAAAAAGTGAGAAGGGCTATTTAATTAATGACAGGGGTAGTTTGGGTATTATGGAAAATTATGAAGTATACAAACTGGATTTACAATCAGTACAAACCATACGAACAGTACAAACTAGAGCGACAAAACATACAAAGATTACAAACATATGAACTGTACAAAAAATACAAACTAGACCGACAAACAATACAAACCATACAAAAAGAAAAAACAACCAGGTTGATTTTGGAGGCTCCATCCCTATATAGAGGGGCTCCTTCCCAAAGTCAACCCGGGTATTTTTTAGACATACAAACATGGTGGACAAAAATGACAAACTAGACAAAAAATTCATACAAACTGGAAAAACACCCGGGTTGACTTTGGAGGCTTCATCCCTATATATAGAGCTCCGTCTCAAAGTCAACCCGATTGTTTTTTAGACATACAAACATTACGAACATGGTGGACAAAAATGACAAACTAGACCGACAATCCATACTAACTGGAAAAAACACCCGGGTTGACTTTGGAGGCTCCATCCCTATATAGAGGAGTTCCATCCAAAAGTCAACCAAGTTGTTTTTTATACATAAAAAACATTACAAACATGGTTGACAAAAATGATAAACATGGTGCACAAAAATAACAAAGTTTATAAACATTACAAAAAAAATCGACAAACATTACAAAATAACAAAGCGTACAAACATTACAAAATAAACCGACAAACAGTACAAAGCATACTAACCGTACAAAATGTCACTATAAATGACAAACAATACAAACCCGAATCTATACAAACATTACAAAATAGGTCAGCAAACATCACAAAATCCAACTCTCTCTCTCTCTCTCTCTCTCTCTCTAGAAGAATTCTTCGTAGCTAGGGGTGGGATTCGGTCGGTAAACAATTTACCGTTTACCGAATTTACCGGTTTCGGTATACCGAAATTGGCCAAACTGGTTACCGATTACCGATACCGGTTTTTAACCGGTTTACCGATTACCGAATTACCGGTAAACGGTTACAAACCGGTATTACCAAAATACCGTGAGAAGCGATTTCGGGCGGTTTTTCGGTCGGTTTACCGAATATTTACCGAGGGTGATGTTGTAATATTTTGATTTTTTTGAGTTTTTTTCATCATTTTTGTAATTAATAATTTATTATTAACTCTTATTTACGATATTTTTGAGGCCTATACTTACATTCATGTATGTAATATTTTATATTTTTGGGGAGTGCGGATCCAGTGACTAAGGGGGGGTGCTTAGTCACTTGACTAAGCCCCTCCCAGCCCTTAAATCTGGACACATCAATCTGATGGTTAAAAAGTGGGAAGGGCTATTTAATTAATGATAGGGGTAGTTTGGGTATTATGGAAAATTACAAAGTATACAAACTGGATTTACAATCAGTACAAACCATACAAACATACGAACAGTACAAACTAGAGCGACAAAACACACAAACATTACAAACGTATGAACTGTACAAACAATACAAACTAGACCGACAAACAATACAAACCATACAAAAAGAAAAAACACCCGGGTTGACTTTGGAGGCTCCATCCCTATATAGAGGGGCTCCTTCCCAAAGTCAACCCGGGTGTTTTTTAGACATACAAACAGTACGAACATGGTGGACAAAAATGACAAACTATACCGACAATCCATACGAACTGAAAAAACACCCGGGTTGACTTTGGAGGCTTCATCCCTATATAGAGGGGCTCCTTCCCAAAGTCAACCCGGGTGTTTTTTAGACATACAAACAGTACGAACATGGTGGACAAAAATGACAAACTATACCGACAATCCATACGAACTGAAACAACACCCGGGTTGACTTTGGAGGCTCCATCCCTATATAGAGGGGCTCATTCCCAAAGTCAACCCGGGTGTTTTTTAGACATAAAAAACATTACAAACATGGTTGACAAAAATGATAAACACGATACACAAAAATAACAAAGTTTACAAACATTACAAAAAAAAAACCGCCACAAACATTACAAAATAACAAAGCGTACAAACATTACAAAAAAAACCGACAAAACATTACAAAATAATAAAGCGTACAAACATTACAAAATAAACCGACAAACAATACAAAGCATACTAACAGTACAAAATCCCTCTCTCTCTCTCTCTCTCTCTCTCTCTCTCTCTCTCTCTCTCTCTCTCTCTCTCTCTCTCTCTCTCTCTCTCTCTCTCTCTCTCTCTCTCTCTCTCTCTCTCTCTCTCTCTCTCTCTCTCTCTCTCTCTCTCTCTCTCTCTCGGGAATTCCCCTAGAATAATGGCAAGGCTCGTCCATAGATACATTCAAGACAGGCAGTCAGCTTTCAGATCATAGTCCTAAACCTACCTTTCTCGCTCTATCATTCCATTCTATCAGTCCGGTAGTCGGTCCTAACAGCGGTTGAAGCCTTCGAATCTATAAGTGTTTAGTTTTATTTTCTGAGTAGTCGATAGCGAGTCTTACGGGTCCAGCACCATCCGCCAATCGCTTATTGGTGAAAGGGCTATGTAGTAACCAGTCCGAGCCCTAGGTTAGCATTTCAGCCAGTTGATACAGAAGTGAGCTAGACTGTCTCATGTCAAAGCGGATAGTCTTTTATGACTAGTAGACAAAAAAGGGGGGTGCTTACTATGCATCTGCCCCGGAAGGATATGCCTACTATGCTGTCCAGGAATTCCTTGTGGACGGAGGCGCGCAATGGACGGGCCGAAAAACGGACTGGCTTTTTTTATTTATTTATTTTATAATTAAAAGTAAAAAATAAACATGCAATTACTACAGTGCCCTTCATTAAATTGGATTAATAGGAGCCCTTAGATTTTAATGAGGTTGAGTGGTTGAGATTCACTTAGCCATGTGACTAAGGGGACCCCCCTTAGTCACCTGATCTTAGCCCTATTTTTGGGGGTAAAGCAACAAAACGCAGCGTAGCACTAGAGAGTAGGGAGGGGGGATTCGATATCGGTAATACCGATTTACCGTCGGTATTTACCGATACCGTGTCCGGTAAACCGACTCCCACAACTTCCCGCTCGGCTGCCGATACCGTCGGTAAATGGTTTGCCGATACCGTCGGTAAACGGTTTACCGTTTACCGCCGGTTACCGGTTCGGTAAAACGGTAAACCGTTTACCGGATTACCGTTTACCACCCCTATTCGTAGCTGTTGGAGTCTTGGAGGGCACAAAAGCTTGTTGGGGAAAATAAATCCCACCTGCAGAAGAATTCCCTTGGAAAAGGAATGGCAGTGCAGGCTGGGATTTTCTGCCGGGAGAATTTCCCAGAAGAAGAAACGGCCACGACGGCGCGGGTTGGGATTTTCCGTCAGGAGAATTCCCCAGAAGAAACGGCCGCGCGGACGGGGGAGAACAACGCTCTATTTTTTTCATTGTTAAATAAATTAATTATGTAATTACCATAGTACCCTTCATTAAACTAGATAAATCTGAACCCTTAGGTTTTAATGAGGTTCAATGGTTGAGATTGGCTTAATCATGTGACTAAGGGACCCTCCCTTAGTCACCTGATCTTAGCCCCGTCAAACTTATAGCTTATCTTTTTATTTTGAGAAATTTATTTTGAAGAGACTATTTTTGTGTTTGGAATATAAAGAATTTTACTTTCCGATTCTAAATTTTGAATTAAATTCAGGTGAAATTTTCTAATGAATTCATCGATTATTTTACTAATTATGATAAAATGACATAATTATCCTCAATTATAGAGTAAATTACTCTGTATATATAAATTGGCGCCAATAATGCCTCTTTACGCGCAATAGCTATTCGTCGCCCTAAAATTCGATTTTTGTCGCCCTAAAATGTACCAAATTGACAATCTTACCCTTTAACCCCAATCTCTAACCAAAACCCTAATCAAACAATCTGTTACCCTGCCCAGACACCGCCAACCTCAACCCTGCCGCTGTCGCTGTGGATTCTTCTCTCCGGCAGCCGCCACCAACCTCAACCCTCGCAGCATGTCCGTTCCCATGGTAAATCGGGCGGCAACGAAGATGGGCGACGTCGGAAGCAGAGGACGACTGCAGCTACGACTCAGACTCGGCCTCGCCGGCTGGGCAGAGAACGGAAGTAGAGGTTGGCGGCTACGACGAGCGAACTTCTTCGGTGCCGACGACGAGCGAAGGCAGACTCAAACTTCTCTTTTCTCCTCGGCTCGACCTTCATCTTCTGTCTCGCCTCGCACTTGCCGAGCATAGAGTTTTTTTTTTTTTTGGTTTCCAGCCGCCCAGAAGGGTTTTTTTTTTTTGAATGGAGCCCAGAAGGGTTGAAAACCCATCTCCGGCGCTTCTAGCGGCGAGTACGAACGTGCCTGAGTTCTCTACATTTATTCCAATTTTTTATTATTTTGGTGTATTTGTAACTTGTAATTCATTAATTTCGCTATTTTATTTTGTTATTAAACATAGTTGTATACTTTGTTACTTTGTTTTAGTGTTTATATATGTTTTGAAAGATAAGAATTAACCTAAGGATATTTAAGTAATTTTAATAAAAGTTAGGGCGACGGATAAGGTATTTTAGGAGGACGAATAGTAATGCCCAATACTTAACCTAATATATAATGCACCATGGATTTTTCTTATTCTTTTTTATGACAAGTTGATCGATTCAAAGTAGAGGTAGCAATTCTCAATCTAATCCACCAACCCATTAAAAATATCCACATATACCAATTCATTTAAATCCAATCCATTTGATCCAAATCCAATTGGATCGGTGGATTCATGGATTGATCCATGGATCCAAATGGCAAATTATGGTTTGGTACTTATACTTTTATATTTTACATTTTGTTAACCAAAATTTAATTTTTAATGCGAAAAATATCATTGGAAAATCATGTTTTGGTACCTAAAATTTTTCATTATGACATTTTAGTACCTAAACTTTTCACATTTTACGTATTGGTCCTTGATTGAGGATGTCATTTGGATTCATGGATAATCCACCAATCCATTTGATCCAATCCATGAATCCACCAATCCATGGATCAATCCATTTGCCACCTCTAATTCCAAGTTGAGTGACCAATTTTGCAACAAACCATCTCACGACAACAAAAGAGTGTCTTCCAAAAAATTAACCGATCACACTTCAACATCCCATATTTGGTACTACAAATAAACAATCTGTAGACTCCAACCAGCTGAAACAAATGGATACATAGTTCTTCTCAATCACAGCAAAAGTACATTCATACTGAACAATTCTTCAAAGTTCAAAGTTCAAACCACTCAAGTTTTCTTACACTCCTTCCTTCTGGTCATCGTTGCCAATGGCTAGATGCTTCTTATCACTACAGAGGACCATTGTTACTGATGTGGTGATCTAATGTACTGAATCTGAATATGGGCCCTTTCTGTTCGTCGGCAGTACATATACACTGATACACACCATTAATAAGTAGTAGCACTACACAGGTAGCTAGAAAGCTCAGTTAAATTCAAACAATAATAACAGCACGAAAGAATAGGTTTTCAAGAATCGGCCATGGGGAAGGCAGATCCTAGTTTGTTGCCAAAGCGATAGCATTTTATGTTCACGGAATATGGACCTAACTCAACATGATTCTCTTCTCCTCCGGCGTAGAAGCAAAGGGTATAGAGGGCCATTTCAAACTCTGGGCTGGCACCAATTAACGTGCTGGACACAGACTTTAGAACTCCGTTCCATTCGAACTGAATTGTCAGCAACTGACTCTCGGAGTCCGGCTGCAGTAGAAGCCAAGCCATCATCAGTAACAAAATAAAATGCTGTTGCTTGTTATACAAGCAAGCGAATTTATCTGGATCATGGGGAGTACTAGGAACTAAGTAGCATGCTAACATTGCAGGTACAAGAAACCAGAAAGGATTTCATATGTTCATGTGTTGTATCTTGGGAAACCAAGAAAATAAATAATAAAATAGAGACCACTTACAATCTGTCCACGCCGGCGAGGGAAGATATATCCTTGGTAATCCACGTTCCCCTTCGTTTCCTCTAGGTAGAACTGCAGAAGCGAAAGTAACATTCAGAACAGCTTATGATTGCCAATTTTGCAGAACTAAACAACATGAGTTAGAGATAACTGGGAAGTTTTCACCGATTGTATATTATAAACGAGTCATAATAACAAAAAATGGTTCTTCCACCTCTACTCTAGTATGTAGTATATTAACCACTTCATCAAGGCAATCTTGTGCTATTACTACTCATGAAGATCTAACAAACAGGGTGCTAGAGCAATTTCAGGACTTATTCAACTTTCGGCCCTGTAATCCGAGTTTTTTTATGGAACAAGCCACTCGATTCAGGCATGAATAACATCATCCAACATCATAACATCCCTTGAAAAGGAACTGAAGAATCCCTTCCTAGAACTGAATAGATGCAAATCCTTTACCATAAAGTCTCTAATATTACGCTACTTGGAGAAACCTCAACATACTAAAAAACCATAGGTTAAACAATAAGAAGAAAAATACTAAAAGTAAACTTCGTAACAAGAAACTAAAAGAAGAGTAAAGCACACCTGAAGCCAGTTGTGGAACCCAGAAACTTGCTGTTCCCCACACTGCTTGATTTCTCCCACAAACACATGCTCAAAAGCAGATGAGGAACCAGATGTTCCACCTCGATTGTAGAGATCAAACCATAGGCTGGACAAAGTTCTTTTAAACTCTTGGTAATTTCCAGATATCATGCCCTTTGCAGTGAGATATTTGTGGAGGTACTTAATAGGTGCGGTTCTGCTGATTTCTTCAATAAAACCAGCCTGCTCTTGCCTCTCTTCAGATGTGACAACCTCTTTACTCCCGGCATTCGGATTGTAGTTATCCAGCAGTGAGCAAAAACGAGAATAAGTAGGCTTTCTAAACACATCTTCACTCAACCAGCTAAACAGGCAGCCTTCCGCCATGTCATCCTTCTGATAGACTTTCTTCCCCTCTCCACAATCAATCTGATAGTCCCTGTCAGGAACCAACCGGTTTGTATCGAGTTCCCACAGTTTGTTGCAAGCAGCTGACAGGTCTGAGAGTTCCTGTTCTGTAGGCTCCAAAGCAGAACTCTCTCCAAACTCTTCCGAGTATTGTTGCTCGGATGGAGCTTGTTTATATGAATTCCAGTTATCCTTCACCACCTATCAAGTGGAAGAAGTAGGTTATCAATTACTACTTTTACTAAATAAAAGATTCTAGCTTATGAACCTCATATATCAAGGGGGAACATGCAAGATCAGAGTATTTGAAGACTGGTCAACCAAGAATATACCTTGTGCGGCTGTTTAGGATGCTTCTTGCCAACAGTTTCCCAGCCATCGTTACTATCCTCTTTTCCTTCCTGATACCGAAGTTAACATATATTAAGTATCACCATCAGAAAAAACTGAATCGCCATTCTTTTGAAAGCACTAAGATGACCAATTTTCATCAACAAACCTCTCTTCCCCACTGGTTTCTCCTGTGATCAACCTTGGCTTCACTTTCTTGTCCTTCATAGGCAGCCTACATTTGAGATTTATACTTCTTAGCACCATTAAGTGGAAAGAATCCGTACACTAAACCTAATCGAATTCCCCCATCATACAATAAATGACTACAGCAAGCAGCAGGGAAATATAGATCAAGACGACCGCAATCAAATGGAACGTGAGAAAGGAAAAAGAAGAAATCTTAGAATTGAAACCTTTTGAGGTCGTCTCGAAGAATTCGAATCTGCAGACTCCCATTCCTCACCTCTCCTTCCTCCACTACGATCCTAAAAGTTCCATTTTCACCAAGATGTAATCAGCCAACAGAAACTCCTCAAGACATCGCCAAAAAAAAAAACGAGAAGAAAATTCATTTGAAGCCCAACCTCGGAAGCCGAGTAATCCGTCGGCCGAGAAGGCTGACGTCGGCTAGGATGGCTACCGCCGGACTCCTGATCGTCATTTTCACCGGAGACAACCTGCGATCGTCGACGCAGCCGAACAGTTAGAACCAACTCGTGGATTCAGAAACAGATTGCGAAGAACGAAGAGAATGCTAATACAAGAGGGAGGAGGGTGGAGAGAGAGAGACCTCGGCCCAGGAGGATCTGGGGCGCTGTTCGTCGCGTTCGCCGTCGTCGCCATGGCCAATCGCGACGTTAACCAAACCCTTGATCAAGCCTTCCATCCGTTCTTCTGTTGGTGCCTAGGATCTAGTAAAAGCAGCTAAAGTGAAGAGAGAGTGTGAAGACTGTAGAGCCGTGATCTGGATCGAATTGTGAGGATGAGAGATGAGGAGAGAAATTGAATGAAGAAAGAAGGAAAGCGAGAATGGCGGGTAATGGCAGTTTCAGTAATTAGTTGCGCTGCCGACAAATCTAACGGATCGAATTGTCGCCGCGTCATCGCTGGCTATTAGATTAATCCAACCTAGGGGATTATAAATTAGGGTTAAATAACACGTTTGACCAATTGAATTATAAAAAAAAAATATTATATTTGCCTTCAAAAAATATTTCACATCTTAATGATCACTTTCTTTCTTCCATCATTAGACAGTGGGGAGGGATCTCTCATCACAAGAGATTATGATTTTCACAACCATCCTATACGCCATTGAATCTATTTTCTTTCATGTTTATTTTAAATTGATGGATGAGATGAGATTAAACCAAATGTATTTTTGGAAGAGAAAAATGTAACTATATGGGATTATTAACACCATAATTCTAAAATCCTCCATTTTATCGTCGTCCTCCCTCCTCTCAATCCTTCATTTTTTGCCGAAGAGACTCCCTCTCCACATCTACCCTCAAACTCATCATTCAGTCGTGACAAATCTCCTCTCGGCCGTTGCATTCCCATCCCTAGGAATCTCCAACCGACTGCAACGAGATCGCCTGTCACGTTCCAATCTCACGTCCCCGTCGTCACCTTACTGTCGTCGACCGCCGTCCTGTCTCTCGCCGCCCTCCTCTAGGGACGCAGTCGTCGCCTTCTCTGTTCGCCTCTCCCAATGCGCGTCCCTCCGCCGCTACTCTTCCTCCCATCCCCTATTTTTTCATATTTGTGGTTTTTTTATTTTCAATTTTGATTTTGTTTAGGTCCAATGGTAGTTTTTTTTTCTAGTGGTAGATTTATAACTACACTGATAACGTTACCACTCCATCGATAAAGCTACCAATGGTAACGTTATCAGTGTTGTGGTAGCATTATCGATGGAGTGGTAGCGTTGTCACTCCATATGGTGACGATACCACTGCACTGATAATGCTACCACTCTATAGATTATGCTACTACCGCACTAATAATGTTATCGCTCCACTCGAGTGGTAGCGTTATCAGTGTAGTGATGGCGTTATCAGTGGAATGGTGACGTTATCAGTGCAATGGTAATGTTACTAGATGGAGTGGTACATTTTCTAACGTAGAGTTACATTTTTGTAGGTGGCTGGAGAGAGTCTGACGGAGGGATTTAATCGGCGAAAATCTTGTCGGTTGAAGACAAAAAAAAACTATTGAACAAGGAAGAGAGAAATAGAAAGACCAACGTATGTAATTTAGCATTTAGATTTAAAAGCAATGCATTTAATATAAATTTTTTATTCCCGAATTATAATTAGTACAAAAAAAATTAATCAACATAAAATATTATTTTGGCATGCCCAAGTTGCCTTTAGGTAGTAAACGTCACTCCACCTGGTAAAGTTACCACTATAGTGATAACACTATGACTAGATGGGGAAAAAACTACCACTCGACCTAAAGCAAAAAAGTCACATCTAAAAATAAATAAATAAATAACATATATGAAAGACGAAGGTAGGTAGAGACACTAACCTTATATGCACAGAGACAGTGGGGGAAAGGGAGAGTCATGCTCCCGGATTAATTACATTAGATGTTATTTAAGTTTGAGACTGGGTGCACATTAACCACTTAAATTCATTTGGTTGCAACTAAAACATTTAAACCCAGATTTCGTTGTAGAGTTGGCTTTTCTGTCCAAAAACTTAACGGTGAGTATGAAAGCATAAATTTTCATCGACATAAACATGTCAACTCAGTCTAAATTATAAAACTGGTGGGACCCACTTGAACCCTATAGAACCGGCCATGATGAAAGTCAAAAGATCTAGTCACTAAAAGAGGAGCAATCACTATAAAAAAATTCGCAACACAATTTAGTAGATGCATGATCAAGAGATGGGCAAGAGAAGGAATCACCAAACACAATTTTTCATACTCGCCGTTAAATTTTTGGACGGAAAATATAATTGTGCAACGAAATTTGAGTTTAAGTGCTTTAGTTGCAACCAAATGAATTTAAGTGATTAATGTGCAACCAATATGAAAATTAAATGGCTTCTAATGAAAGTAAACCTCGTGCTCCCATGGCGACAACGTCGGCAGAGACTTGAGCCCAAATCGACATATGTGATGGCAGCGATGGGGGGATGGTGAGCACCTGAAGAGGAGGGCGGTGCACAAGAGGAAAGTGGCAAGCAGGCAACAACGGCGGTGGGGAACGCGCCATCAGGGAGAGGGAAAGGTTGCGATCGCCGATGAGGGGATGATGGGTTGTTAAGCGGTGGCGCCGATTGGGGGATGATGGGGCGACGAAGGATGGTGTTGGTATGCAGAAAGAGGAGCGAAAACATTTCCAAGTAGCTCGGATCGCAGCCGAAAAAAGCGATCCAGCCACCGAATCAATATGGTTAGCGGACAACTCAAGCGAACCTCGTTGGGAGGACCCCTACGATTTATACCTAAGCCAGGTCAAACCTTTAACCAGTCGTTATTTGTGCTCAGTTATCCGATCGTAGCAATTTTTTATTCTGCATAATTTTTCGAGATCTTCGAAAATCTCGAAAAGTTATACCAAATCAAACTTTTTTTACTACGATCATATTTGTTACATTTAGTTTGTACCTATACGTTTTCTAAGCCAACTCTTATATGACCAATGTATTGTCCGCTTTCAATCTATCCCATATGTTTTTCTTTTTGGTGCATCATGTTAACTTTCCGAGAGGTCATCCATCTGTGCACTGCTCTACTTAGAGAGAGTTTGACTTTACAGTTGTAACAAGAACTCCTCCATCTCATCTCAAAATTTATTTTATCAATTAAAATTTGATTATTATTTTATAAATGAGTTATCTCTCTCATTCTTTGTCAACATGAAATTTAGTGTAAGGTTACATAGAGTTTTATTATGGGATACTGTTTACACCTAAAATTATTTCATCGCGAGGTCAGCGGCGTTGCAAGGTTGAGATCTCAAAGACGCTGCAATGGTTTACACGACATCGCGAGTAAAACAAAGTTGTGAGCCATGGAATTCAAAGTCGGCCATGATAACTAGAGCGACATTGTTTATTGAAAACAATGTCGCGATGACCTAATTTTTAGAATGGTCGGTTTTGATTAATTAATAATTTTAATAATTATTGTTTGGACAGTGTCGTTTAGTTGAAAATGACATCGCAGGAGGTATCAACAACACCGGGGATTAGAAAACGATAGTGTTTAAAATAAAACAATGCACGGAGTAAAAAGCAGACATAGTTGTTTGGGGAAGAAAACAACATCGCGTGAGAACTAACGATGCCGCATGATAAAAAAATTTAGCGGCATTGCAAGTTCAACAATGTCAAAAAGCTAAACGATGCTGAGAATTCAACTAGGTTGTGAACCGGTGCCAAAAAGTGATGTTGGATTCCGAGGGGGTTGTGGACTTAGTATATCTTAGCCCATATGTGGTATTAAAAAACGGTGTTGTTTAGACCAAAACAACTTCGCGAAGTTCAACGGTGTCGCTAGTTCAGTGTCGTGAGATTAGCAGCATCGTGAGATTTAAACAACATTGTGGATCAAACGATTTAGCGAGCTAAACAACATTGTGAGTTTGGCAAAGCCGTGGAGAGCTCAACAAGGCCACAAGGTTTGACGACATTGCAAGATGAACTATGATGCGAGTTGCGACGGTGTTGTGTGGTCAATGACGTCAAGAGATTAACAACCTCGCGGCGAGTGTGCGGTGGTGAGGGGTGAAACAACAATGTTGTTTAATCGATAGCGGTATCGTGATTTGAACTGTGGTGGTACAAAGTTGATGTGTGCGCACGTGACTTTTACGCAAGGAAGATTGGAGAACGAAATCGAGGCAGTTGAAGACTACGACTTTGTGAAGAAGGATTGAGCACGTGGGAGACAAAGGCGAGGCGGTTTCACAGCGTGAAGACTATGTAAGTGATTTTGATAAAAGCACCAGGGTAATGAGAGAGAGAGAGAGAGAGAGAGAGAGAGAGAGAGAGAGAGAGGAAAATCCCAAATCAACACAGAAAACAACTATGTTTCTACTTTACCTTTTCTCTGTAACTCCTTCATGGACCTCTCCTTCTAGAAAGGATCTCCATAGTTGTAGTCGTAGCGTAGTCGCAGAGCTCTCCACATTAATCTCCATAGGAGTAGCAGTAACGTAGATTCCCCATAACCCAAACACTCTCGTTCGAACATTGTTTGAAGAGGTATGAACCGTAGTAACGGTCGCGTTGGTTAAAAGCGAGTGGTGCATCAATCAAATCAACATCGCCCGACGGTGGATATTTGACGGCCATCTTGATTTCAGCAGTCGGTGGTGCGTCCGATCAAACGACACCACAAAGGTTTCCACATCGAAACGGCCAAATCAACACCGCCCAAACAATTCGGCACCGACGGTGGTATTTAGTTTTCGCGGGAAATAGATACCAATTCATATGATTGCCTAATTTTTACCCAAAGTTTTATGGTTACATATGGCTTTGATCACAATTATTTCAAATTTTTAATGTTAATAATAGGAGTGATGCTTTCATTAGCAAGTTGAAATTGTACTATAACATTAAGAGGAATTTTATAATGCTATATAGTATTGGTGCTATAGGTTTTTGTCTTTATGATACAACTTGAAATTGTACATTTAACGTTATGGTACAACTTTGGATTATACCTATACTGTTTGTACAAATTCTTTTGTGGTACAACTTGAACTTGTACCTTTATGTGATGGTACAACTTCAAATTGTAAAGTTGTACCATAACATAATGGTACAAATTCTTTTATGGTACAATCTAAATTATACATTTCATGTTATGGTACAATTTTAAGTTGTACATTAAAACACCAATACTATATAGCATAGTAGAAATGCCTCCAACATTAAATATCAAGCTCAATTAGTACTATAAAAAATATGAATAGACAGAACTTGATCATAACGTTACACTTTCTTATAAAACGAAAACATGAAGCATTGTTATAAATTATAATTCCTCCGCCTACCATAAGAATTGCCAATTAGCATGCTCTTTTCAATAAAATAATAATAACCTAGTTATAAAAAAATTAGAAAAAATACATTGGGTCAGATGGTCCAGGCCTACATTGGGCCGGATGATCCAGGCCTGATCCGTACCCTGAGGAAATTGACCCGCTATCCGCTGCCTATTATCATCACCGGTTCTCCACCTGTAGCCGCGCAGGAGGAAAGGAAAAATTGAAATTAAAATCGCAATCGCAAAGGAAACTCGGGGGTAAAAAAAAAAACACGATGGCTGCTTCCTCGCCGGCACCGAGCAGCACCGCCTCCGACTCAGGTCACACGCCCGGCAGCGCCGCCGCCGCCTCTGTGCAGCGGACAATTGGAATCCAACCTAGAACCCAGCGCGGCCTCAACAAACCTAAATGTATCCAGTGCGGCAACGTCGCTCGCTCCAGGTAGCTGCCGTATATTCAACATTCTAGTATTGAATTCAAGTTAGAATTTGTGGAATTTTCTCTGCTGTTTCTATCCTGTATTTCAGTTGAACTTCTCTAGCATTCCCTTTCGGGATGTGGAAATCGCAGCCATGCAGTTGGGGGTCTTTGCCTGCGTTCATTGGGTATATGAATCTAGGTTTTGGGTTTGATAGAGGTTTCTGTATGATACTAGTCCAGGTTGTGAGATTCTGTTGTTTCGATACCGGAAATTGGGTCGTCATTTTTCTTTGGGCCGGAGATAATAGTCACCATTAGAATAGGCTATTCATTATTGGAGCTCTAGCTTTGGTTGAATACTATTCCTTATGCAGGTGCCCTTTTCAGTGCTGCAAAGGTTGCTGCTCAAGAGCCCAAAATCAATGCGAAATTCATGGTATGATGGATTTATTTTCCTTCTACTTTGCTGACAATTTTCTATCTTTCCTGACATCTTTGAGCATGATGGTTGTGCATAACACCAGAGACCATCGATTCTGAGTATCTCTTTTGTGTATTGGGAGAAATCTGTTTCTAGTTGTTTCCCTCGGTGTCTATCGAACCTTAAATAGTTTCTTGACAGGTTGGATCTAGTTTACTCTGTGAATGACTCAGCTTAACTCTATAAACTGCTATTGTCTTTCTTTACTTCCTGGTGTATAAGTTGACTCTGGTGTTTTCTTTTCATCCTTGAAAATATTTCTCAAACTTTGTGCAGTTCTACAAAAAAACAAAAACGCTCCAGACAAGGCGCCAACTTCAACTACTACTCCCATTGATCAACAACCACCTGAAGTGTCTCCTGTTGCGTAAGTTGCATGAACTAGCAATTTGAATGTTTTTCTCTGTATCCAGCCTCTTGCCTGCATTTTGGTTGTCTTTTACTTCTTCATGTGTAGGATTTTGTTCTCTACTTGTCCTGATTGAATCATCCTTTCATTACTGGCTTTGTTGTCCGTATATATCTTTCTGTATTGATTTACTATTACTGTCATGTACTACAGATTAAGCGGCAGTTGTCCCATTTGATGTTGCAAACTGGGGTGGAATCTAGAATTTTAATTACTTTGGGGAAATTGTATTTTCATTTGTTTTGCACAAAACTAGGGCCTGATGCTTCAACTAAAGTAACCATTTAACACGAAGCATAAAACATTTTTCCATTCAGATAATTTATCCTCTTTTTCTGTTGGTACAAAAGTGAATGTTAAATCTCATTTTTCTGGCTATTCTCTTCCTGTCTGTTCCCAGTCATCTTCTCAGTTATGAACCATTAATAGTCCAGATAAAGTATAGTGCATGTCTAGTTTGTTTTCATCGGGTCCTCCTGAGATAACTGTGAATCGTTGTCAACATTTCCGTCGATTCTGCCAACTCTCAGAGAACTGAAAGATCCAATTTTATTTGTATTTCATTTTTTTGTCAATAATTCTTCTACATTATATTGTTCAGTTTCTTCTCTCTGTCGTTTCTCTCCATCTATGAGATCTCTGTCCAATGAATTAGTTGCTTTTAGTCATCAACGTAATTATTGGTCTTTCTTTTCCCATGATTCTCGTAGGAGTTCCCTTCGTGCTGCATCCTATCGACAACTATCAAGCAGTTATTCCCAATTGAACAGTTTTCAAACCTCACGTTCGAGAAAGCCTCTGACCAATAAGGTGTGTTGGATTGACCTAATTCCAGAACTGGATCTCTGACTTTATATATTATGATCTACATGATTATATTTTCTCCTTATTGTGCTACTTCAGGATGCTTTGGAGTTAAACAAATGGAGGTTTAACAAATTGAAGGAATTCAAGGAAAGAAACATTGAAAAGGAAAATGAAGCCTTCGATCGGTACATGCAGAACATAAGCTTGCTCGAGGAGACATTCTCTATGAAGGCCATGCAAGCCAGCTCATCTCAAGATAGAACCGCCCCACCAGATCCCATGGTTAGCGAGAACCTCAGAAAGAGGAAACTACATGTTATTGACCAAGGACTGAAGAAGCTCGAGGAGAGTGAGATCAACGGTGATCGAAGACCAGAAAAGGTGAAGAATTGGTCGGAGAGGGCTTCAGCTTTCAACGATCTGATCGAGAAGTTGAATAAAGCTCGAAGTGAGGACGATATCAAATCTTGTTTGGAGATGAAGGCCCAGCTCTTTGGTGGCGGTTGTGCAGCTTTGGTTGATGAACCTGTGGCTCAAACTAGCTGGATTGAGGCGGGGTCAAGCAAGGGTATGGATTGTTTCTCTCAGAATGTACTTAGGCCGGTAGAGATTGATCCAGAAATTGTTAGCAAGGTTAACGTGCATTTCATGTCGCTCCAAAAGATAGCAAGTTTGTGACGTTATTTTGATGGTTCTAGGTTGATTTGCTTAGACGAACGAGAGGCCAAATTTGTATCTGTGTATTTGAAGTGTTTTGGCTCGGTAACTTCTCTTGTCAATGTTTAGGAGAGTAGGGAGGGAGGGAGCACAGGTTTTACTGCATGTCCTGGTAATGTGAGTTGTGGTTGACGATGGACTAGACCAAGTATAAGACTTCATTTTGATTTCTCACAAATATATTTGGTTCGAATTTTGTGTTTCTTGGTCTCTTATGTTAAAGTTATAGATGAATTTTTCAAGGTTTTGTGCGTTGCCATTTAATATAGTTCGTTCAAATAGAAGAAAAACAATTGAAGTCCTTCATCTTAGCACAAAATTTCATTTTTGAATTTTTTTTTTCTATACAAGAAATGTACTAATTTGACGCGTAAATTAGTTATTCGAGTGTCTCTTTCTTGAAGAAAACCATTTGCTTCATTGATGCATGTGGGAAACCCGACCACGGGTTAGAGAGAGAGGGCCGACTCGGCCAAGAGGGGAGTGGCAAACTTGTGATTTGTGTTATTTTCGGTTTACTGCTATTTAAGGATACAACTCATTAGTTTTTGGGAATCAAGCAATAATAATCAGAAAACCCAATCCCTAGTCTCTCCTCTCTCTCTTGTTTTTCCCCAATCTTCCACATCCCTAAATTCTTCTCTTCTCAATCCCTAAATTCCCAATTGGGATTTCTTGTTTCTAACATCTGGTATCAGAGTCTGCGATCGTCGATGAGTTCTTCCCCACTCTCGGACCTGTCGTGGGCAGAATTGCGGGACAGGGCCCGCCGCATCGGCCACTGTTGGCTCCCCGACGAGCCGGCGATCGAGCTCGCCGAGGCGGTGTCTCTCGCCATCCAAACCGCGCGCCCCCTTACGCCGGTTGAGACCGCGCCGCGAGCGCGAGAAGAGCTGCACGAGCAGCGCCCCGCGGCGGCCGCCGCGATCGAAGCCAGCGCGACCAGCGCATCGGAGCCGAGCCTCTCGCTGCACTCGGTGGCGGGATGGGCTTCTCCGGGTTTTCTTCATTTCAGGGCTCGAGTCGAGGAGCGTGTGGCCATCACTCTCGTTGACAGCGGAGCTTCCTTGAACTTCGTGGGTGAGGAGTTCGCCAAGCACCTGCAGCAGGCGCCTACTGCCGCCGATCCCATGGTGGTGAAGGTGGCGAATGGCGCCCCCATGAGATGTGAATGGGTTTTTCGAGGAATCTCCTTGGAAATTCAAGGTCTGCAAATCACCACTGATCTGTATGTGCTGCCAATCAGGGGATTCGACATCATTCTTGGGATTCCGTGGCTGCAGAGTCTGGGGCCCGTGACCAGTGATTGGCAGCAATTGACCATGCGTTTCAAATGGAGGGATAAGGAGTGGACTCTGCAGGGCCTCACCACTGCTGTCGGGTCCATCTCGTTCAAGGACTGCGGTCCAGGAGGCGATGCCGAGTTGGCCATTCTGTGCTGGCCGATCGAGGAATGGGCGCGGCAGGTGCTCCATCCGGAGCTTCAGGAGTTGCTGGGACACTACTCGGATTTGTTCGACACTCCCACTGTCTTACCTCCCCATCGACGGGTTGATCATCAGATTCAGCTCAAGGAGGGAGTAGAGGCGGTGAATGTGAGGCCGTACATGTATGGGCATTCGCAGAAGGAGGAAATAGAGAGACAGGTCTCCGAGATGCGGACCACGGGCCTGATCAGACCGAGCACTAGCCCGTTCTCGTCGCCAGTTTTGCTGGTGAGGAAG